TTTGGGCAGGAAGATTTTTGGTGGAGTGGGTTGCCTTCAGCATTAATCAGTATAAGCAGAGAGACCATGGGAACGGGAAGCAGAGCTGCCTCATCCTCATGGGTAGGACCATGGCCTTTGGGGGTGGAACCACCATAGCTCCCTAGGTTTCAAAGAGCCAGACCTTCACCAACTTGGTTCTGGAATGTGGGGCAGCTCGTTCATGTGAGTCAGTGGGATGGAGTTATAGCTGCTGCCCTGGAGTGAGGGAGCAGGGCTGCCATGCCCAAGAGGAAGAGGAACGGGGCCCACCAGGCCAAAGGGGTGAGGTCGCCACTCAGGAACTAGGGGACTGGAGTCACCCAGTGAAAGAGATCTGTATAGGTGCCAAGTTGACAAGGGGTGGAATTGTGGTTATTAAGTTTGTGTGTCAACTTGGCTGTGCCTGGTTGAGTGGCTGGGCAGCTGGATGTAGTATTCCCCATGATGAGAGTGGTAATCAATCAACTCCATGGTGGAATCTATTGTGAGCAGCTGAGTAAGCTGCTTTAGGGATGTAGCCTGCTTCCTGTGTATAAAAACTCTTGGGGAACAGTCTCTAGCTTATGGCAGGCTTGAACCCTATATATAGCCATGCCATTGCTCAGCAGCCTGCCATGCTCTGTCGACCCTGGGACTTTCAATGGCCTTGAATGAATGACCTGCCGTGTGGTTTTCAAGATTGTGACTGTGACTTTTTACTTGTCAACCTTGGTCTTGTCAGCCTCAGCAGCCAGTAGCTGCTGGCTTCCGTGGGCCGGGAGCAGGAGGCAGAGCTGAAGCCCAAGGTTGAGGGACTTTCACCCAGACCCTAGAGCCTGGCACTTTGAACTTGGACTTAAAGTTCCAAATTTATTCTCCAAACTGTATGACAATAAACTCCTGTTTGTTCAAGCCATCCCATTTGTGGAATATTCTTGTCAGAGCGCCACAGAGGTAACTGAAACAGTATGGCATGGTGTTTTCAAGAATGACCAAATCTATCTTAGAAGTACTAGAATGCTCCTTAGAAAGGAGGATGGGTCAAAACAGTGTGGTATTGGTACAATGATAGACAGATAGACCAATGGAACAGAACTGAAAGTCCAAAAACAGACCCATCCATCTATGGACAGTTGATCTTTAACAAAGGTCCAAAACCCATTAAATGGGGAAGAGACAGTTTCTTTAACAAATAGTGCTGGCAAAACTGGATATCCACTTGCAGAAAAATGAAACAAGACAAGACATATACCTCACCCCATACACAAAAACAAACTCAAGCTGGATCAGACTTAAACGTAAAACCCAAAACTATAAAATTCACCAAAGATAAAATAGGGGCAAATCTAGGAGCTCTAATTTATGGCATAAAAAGACTATCAAACGTAACCTAGAATGCACAGGAGGTGGAAGAGAAGGTAGATAACTGGGACCTTTTAAAAATTAAATTTTTATGAGCATCAAAAGACTTTGTCAAAAGGGTAAAAAGAGAACCTACAGACTGGGAGAAAATATTTGCCTATGACATATCTGACAAAAGAATCATCTCCAAAATCTATAGAAAACTTCAAAGCCTCAACACCAAAAAGACAAAAAAAAAATTCAAAAATGGGCGAGAGATTTGAACAGACAGTTCACTTAAGACAACATGCTGGTGGCCAACAAACACATAAAGAATTGCTTGTGATCTTTAGTCATTAGAGAGATTCAAATCAAAACAATGATGAGATATCATCTCACCCCAGCAATAATAGCAAAGTTCAACAGTATAGAAAATAACAAATGCTGGCAAGGTTGCAGAAAGACTGGAACTCTGTGCACTGCTGGTGGGACTGTAAAATGGTACAACCACTGTAGCAAATGGTAGAAATACTATTTGACCCAGCAATTGCATTACTATGAATATATCCTAAAGAAGTGAGAGGCAGGACATGAACAGACATATGCACACCTATGTTCATCACAGCACAATTCACTATAGCAAAGAGATGGAAACAACCTAAATGCCTATCAATGGATGAATGGATAACCAAATTATGGTCCTTTCACACAATGGAAAACTATGCTACATTAAAGAACAATGAAGGATACGTGAATCATCTCACAACATGCATGTGGCTGGAGGACATTATGCTGAGTGAAATAAGTCAGTCGCAGAAGGACAAATATTGTATGAGTCTATTATTGTAAAAAGACAAAGAAGGGTTTGCTTAAGGAAGGGAAATCACTTTGTAGGTTACTCCATAAAACTGCTAATCAACTTCATGGTGAAATCTACTGTAGGCAGCAGAGCAGCTGCTTTAGGGATGTGGTCTGCTTCCTGTATATAAGAAGGTGAAGAATTAATTTCAGGCTAGTTGGGGGCCACGCTGAAATGGGTAAAGGGAGGGGTGGTATGAGAGTCTGTGACCACCATGATAACATTGGGGAAAGCAAGGACACAGAACTATGCACATAAGATATAGACAACAGAAGCTAATACCAGTATATCCACAATACTGCATTACCATTAACACCAAACATCAGACTACAGATAAACACATAAACATCTGAGAAGATCAGATGGGGGTCAGTGAACAGGATTATACTCTAGACCAAGGACACATTCAGCTCAGGCCAATCTTACACAGATATCAGTGATAGAAAATACCTATAACCCTTACAGAAACAACAGAAGACAGACAGATCATTCCCTCACAGACAGCCAGACACTGTGGGAGAGAGATCCAACGGATCTACCAACTCAGGACCACAGTACTGGGGGACACCAGACTCAATTGGCACAATGAAATAATTAAAAATCTTGTTCCACAACCTACGTTGTTGAGTAGCGATTGGGGTCTTAAAAGCTTTCAAGCGGCCATCTAATATGCAGCTAATGGTGTCCTATCATTGGAAGTGAAGGAGAGTACAAAAAAAAAAAAAAAAGATATTTGGAAGCAATCTGCCCTAGGACATGATGGACCTCGAGACCAGAAGAACCAGATGGTCCCTGGCTACCAATGCCAACCACTTGGGAAGGGATCACAACTGGAGATCCTGGATGGGGTGGGAGGAAAAATGTGTAACAAAATCCAAAAACACAATAATGACCAGAATTACTGGTCAGATTGAGTCTGGTGGGACCCCCAGTACTATGGCCCTGGGATACCCTTTGGGCCTGGAATAAAACTCACTCACAGAGCTGGCTCTTAGCCCAATAATAAATAAGACGTACACGCAGACCACTCAACCCAGGGTGATGCACCCACATACTCTATGGAGATGGATCCTTTGGAGCAACTGACCACGGGGCACCAAATGGGCAACATTAGCACAGAGGAAATTCAGGACACACAGGAGTACATAACTATGAGGGGCATGGAGGGGGGGCTTACTGGGCAGGGAAGGGAGGAGAATACATTAGGGTTGGGGGGTGGTAAATGGGGACTGAAACCAAATGTACACAAAATGTTGAATGTAAATCAAATTCTGTTCTGTAAACTTGCACTTAAAGCACAATAAAAAAAATTTTTTAAAGAAAGAAAGAAATGAGGATGGGGAGACTTTGTCCTACGTACTTTGGATATGCTGTCAGGAGGGAGCAGTCCCTTGAGAAGGACATTATGCTGGGTTAAGTAGATGGTCAGTGAAAAAGAGGAAGACCCTCAATGAGAGGGACTGACACAGTAGCTACAACCTTGGGCTCAAACATACAGTAATGATTGTGAGGATGGGCACACAGGACCAAGTGCTTTTCCATCCTGCTGTACACAGGGTCACTGTGAGTCAAAACCAACTTGATGAATAACATGTATATATGTATATATGACTATGTATGTATTACCAAAATACTTTTTCTACTTTAACTATATTTTCGAGAATAAAAAATAAACCAACAAAAGAAACTCTACTTCAAGCACTTCAACATATAAAAATTTCAAGTTTAAATTTATTAAAAACAAAGTAAGATAAATTCTGTTGAAGTAACCATATGTACACCAAGATAAATATTTGGAATTGTGGAAACAAATAATGAACAGCTTCAAATTTCTCAGTAATTTAATTCGTAAATAATTTAAATTTTTAGTCATTTCTTCCTAGAAATAAGTTTTATTAACTTTAAACTCAGTTCAATGTGATTTTTGCTTTTTTTAAAGATAAAATATGTGGTTTTTTTTTTTTTAAAGTGGGTATTAAATTTACACCAGCTAGAAAATAGCATTTACATTTGTCCACATGAATAGTGCCTAAGGCACTTGACTGCTAACCAGAAGGCTGGCGGTTCAAACCCACCAGCCACTCCTCAGAAGGAAGGTTGGGCAATCCTACTTCTGTAGTGATACCGCCTCGGAAACCCAAGGAGGGGTCATTATGAGTTGGGACCGACTCTACGGCACATAACAACAACAACAACACATGAAATGGTATTAAAAAACATATAAATTCAGTTTGTAGGAAAATACGTAAACAAAAATACCCCCAAAACATAAGTATGCCCCATAAAAAATACAAAAGCACCTTCTACTAAATACATGAATATTAAAAACTAAATATTTTGATTTAAAAGTAGCTACTATAAATGTCAAATTAGTAGGCATTATTTGCATTCCAAATATAATATATAAATAAGAAATATTTCTATCTCAGTTAAACAGTAAGATCAGTATTTCTTAGCAAAAAATGGACTATCTACATGGAAAGGTAGGCATTGCCCTGTATTCAAGTTTGCAAATTTGATTTCCATTACATTTTTTCTATAGTTTATAATTATACATAAAAAAGTAAAAAGATGAGGTAAACATCTTACACTTATAAGAAAGAACTTGAAACTTAATACTCAGATATTCCCAATGCCTAGGTTCTAGAACAGTGCTTAAAAGGGTCCTCCATAAATGGTGATAATTCTATATATTTGAACCACATAATGAACAGCAGGTTTATCAGTCCTCTGAGCAGGCAATGATGATCTTCTCTGTTATTCCAAAATAATCATGAATAAATATGGCTCCAGTGTGGGATTACATGAGACACCATGCTACAGTAAGAGCAGCAACAATGCCATTCAAAATTGCCATGCTATAGCCCATGTGGAAAGAATGTCCAGTCAGTCTCCTAGGGGGAATAAAAAAGAACAGAAAGGAAAATGTCATTTCGTATAACAGACACACAATCAGTTTATTTAAAATGCTTTCTCTTAAAAAAATCTTATTGCCATCAAGTTGATTCCAACTCACAGCTACCCTAGAGGACACAGCAGAACTGCTCCATAGGATTTCCAAGGCTGTAAATTTTAGAGGAAGCAGACTGCCACCTCTGTCTCCAAGAGAGTGACTGGTGGGTTCAAATCACTGATCTCTGGTTGGCAGCTGAGCACAATAATCACTGCACCACCAGGGATACTTTTTAAAATACTTAACAATCTGGAGACATGTAATAACACATGTTAAAAAAGAATATTGGACATATGCAGGATTAGTAATAGATGTATTTTCAGTTTTCTGTCAAAAACTCTCCTACTTACCAAATACAACTGTTTCAAATTCTTTACTCAGAGTCCAACATTCAACAGTCACTGTGTGTATCTACGACCTAATTCTAAGGCATAAACCTTGTTGCATCAGTAGCACGCTCCTTCATTAATTAGCTTCCTATGTTTTCCTGCTCAGTTGTTCTCATTTAGCACTAACTTAAAATACGTGTTATTTCAAGTATTTGTCCTGTTGCTACCATTTTTAGATTAGGTGAAGAAACTATTTCTGTGAGCACTGAAAACAGCACAAGTCCATATGTAATCATTTTTGATAGACATTTCAGTTCTCAACTGAACCGGTTAACTGAAGGTGCTTTCAATGAAATAAATAAATCAATAGGTTGCATTCTTAAGTATCAGCAAATAAACAGCTCTCCTTTTATGACAATTGTGAGCATTGACTAAGGAGCCTTCATAGCATAGAGATTAAGCACTTAGCTGCTAAATATAATTCTAGCAGTTCGAAGCTACCAGTCTCCATGAGGGAAAGGTGTGGCAATCTGCTTTCGTGAAGATTAACCGAAACCCAAACACACACTGTTGAGATGATTCCGACTCATAGCAACCTTATGGAACAGAGCAGACTGCCCCATAAGGTTTCCAAGTTTATAATCTTTACAGAAGCAGACTGCCACATCTTTCTCCTGTGCAGTGACTGGCAGGTTTGAAACACTGACCTTCTGGTTAGCAGCTGAGTTCTTTGCCACTGTACCACCAGGCGCTGGAAGCTCTATGGGACAATTCTGTGTCCTATAAGGTTGCTGTGAGTCAGAATCAACTTGACAGCAACAGGTTTGGGTTTTATTGACTTATTATGAGCACCAACTAGCTGAAGTACACATAAAGTACACAGATCTTCCCTGACATTTGTTCCCTTGATCTTGTAACAATTTTACTACCTTTTCTTTTTGAACATTCTTCCCACTAACTGTACTAAAAAAACACTCTTATCCTAATAAAATAAGGATGAGACATGCTAAAAGGAAGAGAAAATAGTGTTCAAATGGTAACAGGAGGCAGAACAAAGTCCTCTGCTCACTGGAGCAATCAAAGTTGAGGACATGTAGGGAGGTGAACCGGACAAAGAGCTTAAAGTTATAAGCAATGAAGGTACTGGAATGAGGTCATAATGCTCATTTTGTCTCCTTGGCTGAGAAGAGGCCAAAGTCAGGAGGTACTTAGATCTGAATTAACACTTGAAGATAATCTCATAATAATGACTCTAGTCCAACATCTAACTGTGGCAGAGACTGAAGAAGGTAGTCGTCAAAGAACAACCCTTTTTCATTCCACCTGGGGTTACAGAAGACCCTGGCGTTTCACGTTTCACGATGGCCCCTGTCTTAGGCTGAGTTCTTTAGAGATGCAAAACCATTGAAGCTGTTATCTGTATTTACAGAGAGATTTAAGTCAAACAAATGGCTCAAGCAGGTGTAGAGGCTGGCAAATAGCAAGTCCAAGGTAGATGTCAGGCTGGAGGCTTCTCCTCACTCACATAGCTGCAGTGGCTGATGAACCCAAGACTAGCAGTTCAGACACCTGACTGCCAGCTCACTGGCTATGAAGGCTAAAGAATCCTAAGACCGGCTGACAATGTGACAGGCTGCTAGCTCAAGACCCAAGAACTATAGGAGATAATGACATGCCAGATGCAGGATCCAAAGCAAACAAAAAGGTAGAGACCCTTGCTACAATGTCCATATACAATGGATGCAGTTCATAACCCTGAGGAAACTCCCTTTCAACTGATTAGCTGTTCACAGCGGATTGTATCATGGAGGTGATTACATTACATAAAATCTCACCAAGGGGGATGCCTACATCATAACTGCCAAACCACTCAGCACTATGGCCCAGCCTTAATCATTACACAACCTTTAACCATTACAGTCCCATATTCTGGGGTGGTTACATATATGTAATACATATGATATATAATTATATAGTATTTATACTAATGACATTATTATTTATTCTCTGTCCACTCAACCTTTCCTTATTCACTTAGAGGCTAGTTTAAGATGCTTCTCATCTGCCATTAAGGGCTAATCTACATACTTGTACTTACTACATAATAAAACAGAAAATTCCTCAAACATATTGATCAGTAAACATTAGCCTGATCATAAAATTGAACTATCAGCATTATCATCCAGTACAGAATAACATTGGTGACCTGAGAAATACTTAAATTAACAGAAAATGAAGTTAATCATGAAACAGAATTTCCAGTTATTAATTATTCTATTTCACCAGTATCTGATCTTTGCATACTCACAAAAATAGAAAAACCTCTACAAGAACAGTTTACTAAACCTTAGGAAGCTGTAACAACTACAGTGCTCTGTAACTGAATTCTGCTGAGAAGTACATATGCAAATGCTCAGTGACTTTTACAAAGTAAAGCAATGCACTTCAACAGCAATAAAGAAATGCTCCTGTATCTTTCTTTCTACTATCGATATCCCACTTGAGGTCCCACAAGTTCTACTGATTATGATGAAATATATAATACTAATCTCATATTTTCAGCTTATTGGTGAGAAATATTTGCAAGTTCTGTGTCCGTAGGTTCTTGGTAAATGTACTCTCAATGTCACCACTCAAATCAGAAGGTACTTGTGATGTTAAACAAAAATTCTTTTTAAAACTTTGTGTGTGTATATAAAACACGGCTCTACTGGTCTTGCACAAACTGAAAATCAAAATCCTACTGGTTCAAGGCATTTACTGTGTATTGATCGAGTCTACTATGGATTTCAAAATGGTTCTTATCACTGTACTTTTAATTTCATAATCTGAAATAGGCACACATTGCTAGGCACATGGCAACATAAAACAGGAGTGAAGAGGTTTGGAAAGACTGAGTACAGTATATACAATTTTTGTTTGTTGTTGTTGTTGTCATGTGCTATCGAGTCGGCCCCGCCTCATAGCGACCCCTCCTTGTTTGTTGTTGTTGTTATTTGCCGTGGAGTCGGCCCCGACTCACAGTGACCCCTCCTTGGGTTTCCGAGGCAGTATCACTATGGAAGTAGGATTGCCCAACTTCTCAATTTCATTAAGGAACATGTAAAGAAAAGTAAGGGATCTAATTTCAGAAGAATGATAAGCTGATCAGGGGGAATACCTTCCTCTGCTATTTAACTGACACCAGTAAAAATTACTGTACTTTCTTAAATCCTATGTATTATAGCCTGTCAAGGGAAACTTGATCAGATATACACACACATACACACACACAAAATCCACCCAGAGTAAATGAAACTACAGTATTATATAACATTAGGATGCCAAATCCAAAAAAGTGGGTAGGTAATACCTGGCCCTGACAAGCTGATCTGATTTCCTTTGTCATGCCATATGGATTTCTAATCTGGACTTTAATCTGAATGATGCTGAAAAAATTAAACACAAGAAAACAAACCACGTGGTCTCATAGGAATATAGTGGAAATGTGTAGCTTTGAAGACTTTCAATTTTAATTCAAAATTTGTAAGGTCTCTGAAACAAGCTTAAACAATTTTTGAAATAAGTATGACTTACTTTTGGAGATGGGAGCTCTGGTAGCACAGTGGCTAAGACACTTGCCTGCTAACCAGACGGCTGGCGGTTCAAACCCACCAGCCACTCCTCGGAAGGAAGGTTGGGCAATCCTACTTCCGTAGTGATACTGCCTCGGAAACCCAAGGTGGGGTCGCTATGAGTTGGGTTTGACTCCACGGCACATAACAACAACAACAACTTTTGGAGATGTGGCTACAATTATTATCTGCATATATGAATGTGACAAAGAAAACCAACTCATAATATTCTTCCCCAACTGCTCACTTTCGTTCCATACAACTAAAGATATTGTGTAGATGAATGTTCCTAAAGCATTCCTTTCTCAATGTTTTTTTAACTAGCTGGATATGAATAACTTCATTTTCCATTAATTTAAATATTTCTCAGGTCATCACTATTTTTCTACAATGGATGATAATGCTGATAGTTCAATTTTATTTTGAGCAAAGAAATACTGTTAACAAAGTTTTCTTAACAATATAAGTTTTGACCTATACCTAGAAGATGTGGCAATGGACTGTCAGACAAAAGAGGTACCATGGTGTAAAGGGAAAAGGACAATGAAGTGAAACTCATACTTCAGATTTTGTGTTTATCAAGTGAACACCTTGACCAGATGAACTTACAGTTCCTTTCAGTTCTAAATTTCTGTGACTATTCTAAGTAGCAAAAGACAGAATAAGTGAAAACACCTCAAAGAAACTATATACTTATGTATATCTTTCTAGTTATGATAGTATGCTACTGTTTGCCAATACATATACTTAAACTGGGACAATGAGGCATGAAGTATAATCACATACATATTTCAGTGCTAAAGGGTCAATCAAGGAAACTCATCAATGTAACGAAAATTAATGTATAATTCACACACTAGCCCATTAGAACAAGTAGAAAAATACACAGAGAATTCAATGACAAAACTAGAATGTTTTTTAAATGTCAGAATGACATTTTTATTATGACGACTTACAAAAAGGTACTGTGTTCTGGTTCTAAGAAATCCTTTCCAATA